GATTATGTATATCTCTTCCCTAAACTATAGCCACGAAGTTGGTATCTATCCTCGGATAATAGTTTACCCGATATAAAAGAATTACAAAGAGAACTGTTATACATCATGCAGGGACCACCAACTCCAAACCCAAGATAGACTCAACCGAATTAATCGTTCCGACAAGTAAGGACCTTGATTGAAAAAACATAATTTATAAGAAAAGCAGCACAACGTTCCGTGAACGTTATTTCATCGTTTTGATAATTAATATTAGCTTAATAATTCTTTATTACCTGAAAACTCCCAAATTTTTCACGCTGCGCTTCGGCATGGCTAGTAGGGAAGCAAGCAGGGTGAATTTCGCCATTTCAAATTTTTTCACGGCAACACAACAACCAAAAATGGGTAGCGGAACAGCCGCAATTACAGCTGTAGAGTCTCTCGCGATTTCTACAGGCCTCAACATGTATAACTTGAAGTTAATAGGATTTTACCTAAACGAGGTTCGCGACAGACTGGTGATAACAGGTACCAACCCATCTGTAGCACCAATGGCGGAGGTAGAAGGAGCCATTGACGTCTTCAAATCGCATGCACTGTCATTAAAATTGACAATGAAAGCGACACCAATGGAAGAAAAGATGCTGGCCTTAGAAAAGGCAATTAAGAAGAGCCTCCAGGAGCCAGTGCGCAAGACTGCTCCTCAGTCGACACAAGGAATGGGAGTTCGATCCACTTACGCCTCAGTCGTCCCACCTCCAGCGACTAAGCGGCAGTAAGAATAAGAGTTCAAGCGGCGGATAAGATGTAGCCTGCAGAGCTGCTTAACAAGGCAAAAATACATATCGAGGGGTTATACGCCGAAAGGCAGTTAAGGAGTAACGACAATGAGGTGTTCGTGCAGCCGATCTCCCAGCAAGACGCTGCCTTGAATATGGCTCAGTCAAAGGAGTTCTGCGTCGTAAAGCAGGACTATTCTGTTGAAATTTTGGGAGACTTTTTTGGGACAATGATATAAAGGAGGAAAAACGCCGACAATGGCAGCATGATTTACCACATCAATTCGGAGACAAAAGTTCAGATTCTCGGAATCCAAATTAACAGACTAAGATGGCTTTACGACGGAAAGGAGCATCAATGGATGAAGAAAAATGGCCATATTTGAGGGTTAGTGATCGCGAGCCTGCCGACAGAGATTCTTCACCGTGAGGTGATACAAAACGGCATTATGTTCAATTCAATGCTGCACGCAGCCCAGCTCTGGTCACCCCGGGCACAAGCTAAGCAGTGCTTCAACTGCAGCCAATAGGGACAAACTCAAGCCTCGTGCAATATGGCGGAAAGATGTGGTGAGTGTGCGAGCACTCACTAGAATAGAGATACCCCGAAGAAATCGGTGCTTTGCTGCAACTGTGGCAAGGCCAATAAATCCTGGCAGGAGGGGGCGTGTCCGAACTTCGCGCCCTACAAGGCTAGTGTACAAAGAGCACGGCATGGATCTCTAGGGAGAACGGCAGACCTAAGAGGAGAGGATAAATTATCGGCGGCAACGACAGTAATAACAGCGGCAAAACGAACAGACGACCAAGGGTTTAAACTGGTATCCAACCAGAGGACAGAGGTCGGCAAGAGAGGGCCGGGGCACCCGCGAAAAGATCCCTTTGCTATAGGCCCACCACCACAACTATTTGCGCCATTGGGTCAAACTCAAGGCCACAGTCATGACTCTTCGGCACGCGAGGGCAGGGAATGGATGGCGAGGTCACCTACAATTTTAGCTCGTCCTGTCTAGAATTAATGGCACATCGCACTTACTGTAGGTAACAAAGGACTACAGAAATATAAATAAAATAACAGGGTGGGGTTTTTATAGTAATGGTCTCCCCCTCATTTAAATAGATAGAAAGGTTCGTAGCCGCCTGCATGAGCCCACAGGGCGCCAAATCGGGTTAAATGAAATCAAATTCAAAAGGACCTTAATTTCTGGAGAGAAAGGCAATCTAGAACCAGTCAAGGACTCAAAGGCACTGACGAAGAGCATAGGCCTTTGTTTATATGTGCGATTAGCGCAGTGTAGGTAAGGGTTCCAAGAATTTAGTCAGAAGTAGTTTAATATTTGAGAGGAGACAAGAGCGCAATGCATTCAAGTGTCCAATCTCTGCTAAAACAACCAATTTTGATAGTGGTATAAAAACAAAAGATACTATCCAGCGTGTAAGGATTCTGAAGAAATGCCTTTTGCGAGATTCCCTTTTGCCTCGTTTAATCTCAATAGGCTTTTTCTTTCTGGGTTAAATTTTAATTGCGTATGCAGCTATCTAGCTATGACACAATACCAAAGAAAATACGCAATAGATGAATCAATGTAAAGGAAGAGCACTCATGCCGAGGATTTCATTTTCAAGTACCACTGCGAAGTTATGCCGGCTCTTTCTTCACCCCAAGTCATCCCTCATTCGTGAATACCCACCCAGAACGTCTCAATAACCCAGGGTTATCCAGACATGCCTCCATCATCTATTAACTTTTCTCCTAACCAGATGTAGTCTGAGGCATCTCCTTCCCAAGTGGAGTAGGTGCCCAGGCTACTCAAACTATGCCGGAGAACACCACCAGGAGGCGGACCACGGCACCTTCCATCGTTGGCTTGTTTTTATTGAGTTAGCTGCACTCTCGCAAGCGAAGTCTTGGCGCGCACAAAGCTCAATTCGTAAAACTCTTGCCAAAATTCGAAATAACATGCCCGTCGAGACTGTATCCATTCTCTGCATCATCTCGTGAACTTTTCCTGATCCTTCTCACATCCATCTAAAGAACTGTCTCCCAGATTTGTGCGCTACGCTTTCCTTCCTCTGCCGGGTGTAAATATCGGCATGGGCATGTATTTGGTGACCAGCTGAGGCCAGAGAAGGTCGAAGAGTGGTGTGGTCATTGGAATGAGGATGTACTTGGTCGTACTTGTAGGCTTGATGAGACTTAGGTAGTATTCAAACTCGTTGGGAGCGAAGAATTAATGTGGCAGAGTATTTTGAATCATTACCTCGTGGGCCAACTTGTTCGGTTTTGCGAAATTTGACTGAGCTTGGCACTGGGAGAATATTTCACTCCCAGGTTCGTAAAGAACACTGCGTACAGGTGTTCAGTCTCCTCCCCCCCCGAGCACATCTTATAGCGACTCATATATTTTTATTATCTTAGAGAATCAGAATAGACTTTGATTGCTTTGCTCGGCTGTACAGATGACGACCCCATTTCGTGACAATATCTCTCTTCAGACAGCGCGTTCTTCATGTTTAATTCTTGTATAGAATTTCAGTTAATCTTTACCTTTGGCCATGACAGCGAAGTATAGGTGTATACAGTGAATTTATTCGAAGTCTATCGGGAATTAGATTATGTTCGGGCGTTATGAATTATTCAATGTACTTGCAGTGTTTTGGATGTCGTTTTAACACCGACAGGGATCCGACTCGGCTCCATTTGCGAGGGATTTTGAGTAGGGGAAAAGGTATAGAGAGAGAGAAAGGTTTTTTAATCGTACTACTTGAGTTATAGACTATCTCGCACATTAGGCTCCTTTCTGACCAAGGCCACACCTTGTACAGTACTCCTTGCCTCTCATGTTTCTTGAAAAATCATTGATATATTGCCCATGATGAGTAGCCATTCAGCTCAGTGTTTGCCCGTGGAATTCAGCCACCTTTTCCACGGAGCCTTCTACCCACAAAAAATAAAAGGGGTAGCAATGGAAACTGCGTGCGCGGGAGAAAGTCTCAAAAAACCTGCAGCCCCAGCCAGGCGAGGCCTAGACACCGGGACCACATGAGGTGCGCATATTCATCTATATCTCCTTTCTTTATAACAGTTGAGGTGGACTTGATCCAATCCGCCATCTCCGTATCGGGTGCTGGGTACGCTCCGGAAACTCATCGGATGACTTTTCCTCCATGGGCAGGAGTAATGTAATTTTTGGCTACTGGTTTTGGAAGTGGTAGGTACTTGAAGGGGACTCTTGATGTTATCATCAAGTAATTCATTGTCAAGACTTCTTTCCCCTTGGATTATGCAGGTATAGGTTTAGATATTGTACTTGCAGCTTTCTACGATAGAATTTCAACTGGACAAGGAAGAGCGGGTAGTGAAGTGACCTGACCAGTTTTCAGGTACTACGTAGTAACGGCAAATAGAAAGAGCGATCTAGAGATTTAATCTTATTATTTGTTGTTCAAAAGAAGAGAAGCCTTGATGACGATGTTACATCGTGAGACCGACGGTTGTTCGACAGCTCGCAACGCCTCAAACATGAGAGTCAGTCAAATCTTAGATACGCCATCTGTTTTCGTTTCTGATAGTGGCTGCGATTACATAGCTTGGGCTGCTCTTGATGGTGCTTCCACCAGTGACTCCATTAATATGAGAGTGATTCTAGATAGGCCTATTTTCGCAGAGGATTCAGAGGTTGGTTTTCAAACATATTTCATAGTTTCGGCTGCCCCGATTAACTCAATGTCCGCTAATTTTAAAACTTGTAGAGCCTGTTCTAGCCCCTTAATATTAGTCTTTCTAATCCTGATAAATCTTTTTGCTGAGGCGGAACGGGGGTTGAAATAGATAGAGCATGTGTTAGCTCTTGAGCTGTTAAATATGACCTTCCGACTATAATTGCGCACAATTATTCTGAAAGCCTGCCGGTTGCTAGCTACTCGAGTTTCGGTGCGACACAGTTTTATTAGTTATATGAAGGAAATAATGACCCCTCAGTAATTGAAGTTGTAGAGCGCATTAAGAAGCTCAGAAGAAGACGTTTACTGTATAATTGATTCTATGAAGTAAGATCTCTCGTAGAGCGCATTCGTATGTTGGTTTGTTTCCTATTTCTCGTTCGTCGGGGCGCCAAGCTTGGCTTAGCTCCCTACCACCCACTAAACTAATTAGAGGCATGGAGCCAGTGCTTACTGCCCAGGTGGCTTCGCTCTTGTTACTTCCTAACTAGGTTTGCAGGGCAATTCTCTAATTACATGATTGCGTTTAGCGTAGCACCTGTCCTTTTACAGCCAGTCCCCAAGACTAGTTACTCTTTTGATGTATTACTGCCACTATCAGGATGCTACTAATAGATCCATTCAGAAATACCGCGCCATCCATCCATAATGCCAGGACCAAAATTGAGGCAGAGTTTAAGACCTATTTATTTCTTCTCTGGGATTTCTAGGGCAGGTCTATATGTAAAACTCAAAAAGAGAAAGCCACTTTGCTACACGTAGAACCCCTTGTAGAGCGCATTCATTTTGGTAACTAGCGAATTGATACTGAGTACTTAATTTGTGGTCACGTGTGTATCAACAACGTGGCCTTCTTGACAGCCCAAATCATTCAAACTTCTAACAAAGTATATAATCGACCTTTCTTACTCTATGACTAAATAGGATATCCAGGCCCTCTCTACCTGTTAGCCAAGGACGTATATGGCAGCAGTATATCCTGATATCACTTCTTATTGTGCCGGCTCAGTTGAATTATTTAGAGACAGGATAAAGGAGAATGGGCTGCAGTATTATTATTTCATTTTATTGAACAGACTGAGTCTATGACTATCTAGGACATGCAGATCCCCTCTACCTAGAGACCAAGGATATCTATGCTAGTAGTATATCCCCTCCTATGCCTCCCATATAGCTCCCCTCCAACAGTACCACCCCTCACAAGCACTCATTCGATCATACACTTAGAGGAGCCCTTTGCCCTTCATTATCTACCCTCTCCATCCAACGAAACGATGGCCATTTGCGGGTGTATGGCAGCCGGGAAAAATCGCAAAAACCAATGGGTGCGGGGCTCTCCAAATTCCGACATTAGTACTAAATCCGAAGACTTAGTGACCTTTCTGGAGCGTGCGAGGAGGCCGGATAGCTGGGCGCTGTAGACTTGTAGGTACCTAAGTATACCCATACTATGCTTTTCTTGTCACCTTTCACCTCTTAATCAAAGGTCGCGCTGAAATGCCAGAAAAGTCTCGACAGAGCATGATTGCCGTATAGTAGCTTAGCCCGACTTTATTTGTGCCGTCCAGGGCCCTGTGTAGTGCCGTTGACTCATCGAAAATAAATGTCCTCCTAGCTAATGACCCGAAATCTCGGTCTTGGCGCCCACAAACTTTCGAAGTCGAAATTGTTCGTCCCATTAAACCCAATGGTAATCCCTTCATTCCACGTCCCAAGCGCCTGTTCTCCTTCGAGAGATTGAGCCCCATTAGAGTAACAACCCCTCATGAGTAGAAATCCAAGCTTTGTATAGTATGGCTTAATTTCCTCCTGGAAGCTTCGTATAGCGCCGTAAATTTTGTAATGGGTGATTGTTATGATCTGAGACAACGAGGTAGTCGAGGCTAGGGCATCGCGTGTGGCTCAAGGCCACAGCATACATCACTAGTGTACTGGTTAGGCGAGCATGTATATAGTTTCATAGATGTACCCACAATAAATGGACACAGGTTTAGTCTTATACTTTCTGTCCATATACCTACAGCATAGTATTGTATGAGGCTACTCACTGTCAACCACAAATTATAACATCATCCACTCCTCATCACTCCGCAATGTGACTTCCGCATAGCTCATAACCACAACAGTGATGGCCGTTAATTAATGAAGCAAGCTCCCGTTAGCAATTGGATCAACTCCTTTATCGGTCTTAAAGGCGAGACGATACGTGGTAAATTACAATTAGAGAAATCATGTAAGATTAACGATGTTCATGTTGGTGAGAAGTCACCAATTATGTAAGTGCTTGTAATTATTTACGTCTTTGCTTTCTACTGGTGCCTTTGGGTAGAAAAGATATATATGTCAAAATGACTGGAATAAGATCCCGGTAACTATGGATTTGACTGGCTGGTCTCCATTTGGGTCCATGTCTAGTTCGTCGACTAGTTAGGCAAGCCGGGAGTACTGTCCAATGACATTCCGTAAAAGTCAAAATTAATGGGGATAATTTTCAACTTCAAAAGAAAGGTATGTGGGTTTTCATTAAAAAATTAAAAAGTAAATTGGCATTATCTAAAAACACACATCTAGTTCAAACATAATTGCACTGTAATACAGGAGTATAGACCGAGGCCCTTAGAATGCCTCGCAAGTAGAATGAAAGCATACTACATGTTTGAAATTAGTCTGCTCTATCCTAATACTTTGTGTACCATCCATTTGCCTTTCTCACTGCTACACATCTTTCGTGCATGCTACCGACTAGTGACGATATCTCCTCGTAATCTGTCCTACATAGTTGTAACTCAAATAGGACATAAATGGATAATAATAATAGCTCCTCGTAAGGGATAGGGTCCCATATGACCTCTAACTACATTCTTAACGTGGCAGAGTGCAGAAGCCTGACCACATTTATCGCAGGATTATTCACCTGGATATGATATTCTAAGATGTTACATAGTGACTCGATCGGGTTCAGGTCCGGAGAGTAAGATGGCCATTTAATGGGCGTTATTCCAATCTCATGCAGCGCCTCAATCGTTTAGTATGCTATGTGACTTGGTGCATTGTCGTGCATGTATAGAATTTCTGGATTTTCCGAGTGAAATTGATCAAAAAAGAGCAAAATCCTTTCACAAAAGAATGAGGCCCTCGTGGATCCCCAATCCTTCTCCCAGACTGGGAATGGGCCTTTCCATGACTTATAAAATGATTCCCAGAATACCCAGCTGTTCCCATGAGTATTACGAGCCATAATACAGGTCTTGTCAAACTCATCATCAGGCTAATCACTGCTATTATTACAAGGAAGGTTTTGATAGAATTCATACGTACAATTCTTGTGACAGGAGGTTTCATGGAGAATGACCCAATACCCAGGTTCCATCAGTCCATAATATTCGATTCCATTGCTCCTCGCTCCAATCTTTTATACTGTTATATTAACTAGGCTATATGGGAGCAGGACGATGGATACTCTTGGGGAAGTTATGCTCACAGTAGGTCTCTATAATCGCTGTCGCGTGTGTTCTCGTGATATGTAAGACTTGAATCTATATTCTCGTATAAAGGAAACTTAGTTACAAATGAATGGACGGAGGTTGAGACCTCCTTATATCTTGCTCCAGACTTACCGTGTTGTTCACAGCCTAGTGCTAGAACATTCCCTTATGATATCATTTCTCTCTTACGAGAAATGACCAGCTCGTTCTCTCTCAGTCCATCAGTCTCTCGCTGATTCCGTTATCTCTATTCCATCTAGTTCTAGTTTGGTCCAGTATACCCACACATGCATCACACATGCATTACACACTAAACACCCCACGGTTTAGTTCCACAGTCACGTGCATATGCTATGACGCGACCTAAAGCATGTACCATGGTAAGTTACATGGATAACACAACATATACTTATTAACCGCACTTAACGGAAGCTTCTTTCGAGCAACGCATCTGCTGTCACACCATTTTTGGAGGGCATTAGAAATGAAATGCTCACTACGTTCTCAGTGGCCGAAGGGTCCCATAGCTAGTTCCAAACAGCACATCTGTCGAGTTTCAAGAGGTTTCCGGAAGAAAACCTCATGCTCCTCGATTTGTTCCGCGTTCAATTTTAGCGAGCGTCCTTTGCGAGGTGTAGGATTCTCATCCTCTCGAGTACACGCAAATTTCACGTGCCTTCTTGTGAAGCCAAGTTCGCCGGAGATATTTTGTAATGTCAAGCCAAGTCTTCTTAAAGTTCTCATTTCGATACATTGATCGCGAGTTAGATGCTTGCGATATTTGGCTTCAGAAGCAGACTTTTCGAGAGACATCGTTTTCTAAATTAGAGGATGAATTGATAGTAATAATAAGAGTTAAGGGCCTTATTGGTTATGCTGTCAAAGGAGTAGTTAAAAATAAATTACTTTAACCGATCGTTTGAAAAAAACTATTGTACCACAATTCATGGCGAGCGGGGTAATGAGGTGAGACAGTGGAGGGCAATACTGAACACCTATACGTCGTGTCCTCTACGAACCTGGGAGTGAAATATTCTTCCAGTGCCAAGCTCAGTCAAATTTCGCAAAACCGAACAAGTTGGCCTACGAGGTAATGATTCAAACTACTCTGCCACATCAACTTTTCGCTCTCAACGAGTTTGAATACTACCTAAGTCTCATCAAGCCTACAAGTACGACCAAGTACATCCTCATCCCAATGACCGCACCACTCTTCGACCTTCTCTGGCCTCAGCTGATCGCCAAATACACGCCCACGCCGATATTTACACCCGGCGGAGGAAGGAAAGCGTAGCGCACAAATCTGGGAGACAGTTCTTTGGAATGGATGTGAGAGAGATCAGGACAAGTTCACGAGATGATGCAGAGAATGGATACAATCTCGAAGGGCGTGAAATTCCGGATTTTGGCGAGGAGTTTTTTTAAGTTGAGCTTTATGCCTGCCAAGACTTCGGTTGCGGGAGTGCAGGCGACACTATAGGCACTGCCATGGTTGGATGGTGCGGTGGTACATCGTCTTGGCCAGCCTGCCAAGTAAGGTCTGGATAGATTGGACACATATTCCACTCGAGACAGTAGATCGCCGGTTAAAATCCGGCAGAACACAACCACATTTCTCGCGGCGCTGGTATGCATGGATGACGAAGGCATGCTTTGATAATCACAGGCTTTCAAAATTCCCTTTGGTGGGTACTTACGGAGGAGGGTCGACAGTTTGTGTGAGTGAACACACCTCATAGTGGTATTTGCGAATGAAATCCAGAGTATGAGTGTCTCTAACGTCAAAAGAGTCATCTCACAGGTATACACAGTACCGGTCAAATGCCAACGCTAGATAGCTGAATACACATTATATGATTTAAAAAAAGAGGAGAGACAGTCTAACCTATTACGACTTACGCTTACTGCATCTGCACCTGCAGGGCTAATCCCATAAACAAGCCAGACCCAAGTCATATCCATTCTATCCCTAAGAAATAGTATGTGTGATTCTTCTTGGGTATCCAAGACATGTAGAGCATTCTGAGCGACTACAACAGCACCTCTGGAAGGTGACGAATTCGTTTTCTCTGGCTGTGCTGGATCATTAACTCCGGCGCCAATCAATCTAATTAACTGGTTTTATTTGTTATGCCTTCACCAAGTTTATATTAAATTAGATAAATGTAATCATACTTACTCGCGCATAATATTATACCATCTTGGAAAGATCTTTTCATACTATCTATAGGCCTTGGCAGTGTAATTCTCCCTCAAAATACGTGTTAGTCATTTCGCCAAGTCTATCCTGTAGAATTAATCATCTACAGAGTCTAATAGGGTAGTCAATTTGATGCTACTATCTAAGGATGGTACTTCTCCCATTGAAAACTGTAATATATCATACTTTATTTCCTTCATCTTTCCCTTAATCCAACAATTATTAAGAATTTAATATTTTGCCGACTCGCTGATAAAGAATATCTCAACCATATCATTGCCCCACTTCAATAAGTCCATATTTCAGGAAGAAATTTATCTGCTTTTCACCACAATGGTCTGTGTCTGGCATTTATGCTCAATGCGTCACAGGTCAACCCATACTTGAATCGCATGGTCATCGTGTCCAATGATCAGTCAAATCAAGGCTATTATATTTATGATGCTCACAATGCTGACTTCTTTGTTCCTGACGCCTCATATGATTTACGCATAGCTAAATTTAAACCAGAAGGTTTTGGTACATACTCTACGATGTATTGCTCAGAGAAAATGGGGGTTCCAGAGATAAGGAACAAAATTACTATCTCTAGATCAGACATCACAGGAGTTCAGATGAATGCTCACGCTGCAGATAGATTGACCATCAAAAAGTGTCACGACGAAATTGAAAAAAAGAAAAAGAGGGTGAAGGCCCAAAAAGAAGATCAACAAAATCAATCAATAGACGTGGTATTGCTATCAGCTCTTGATGAAACAAATTGTCCACCTGCCGCACTAGCCACCATGTCATTTGTGAAAATAATCTCGGTACATGGAAAATATAGTTCTTTTTCCCCGAAGCAACGGCCCACAACTGTACAACTCATCGCTGATAAAAAGATTGATCTGGCAAAATTAGTATATGATGGACAAATTTTCCCAGGCAAGTATTGGAAGCAAAATAAAGTGGCACTTACCTGGTATCAAGGAAATCTTCACCTAATACAGCTGAGAGATAGCGGATGGTATTTTCTAACCGACTTAATATATGAATCATCCAACGGTGCCATGATTTATTTCTACATGCTTGGAATTTCCCCCGAGACTTGGAATCTAAAAAATGGATTAATCACCGAAATAAATAAAAAATTGAATTTTCATGTATCCATGAATTACTTTAATACTCATATCTGGAGGTTAATTCAACTACCCAATCTATCTACAATGGAAACGGTAGAAATAAGTGCAGGAAGGCTCAACCCCACTTTTGCCAATGGCTTTCTTGGCGCGGTTTCAAATTGAAAATCTTTGGCAAGTCAAGATTTTGAAATGACCTCTGTTAGGTGAATTCAAGTCTACTACCCTATCGCATGTCATATTTCCCTTTCATTGAAATATCTGATAGTAAAAAGTTCGTCTCATCTCTCATGCTACACTTAACGTCCATCAAAAATCAAAATTTCAGCATTTTTACTTCAATGGCAAGTGTTGTTGATTGTCTGCTGTATTAATTTGATATATATTCAGCCCGTTACTCTTAATTATGTTCAGAGTTTGATATATATTCATATATTAAGCGACTATTTTAGCCTCAAAACACTTGTCTATTAAGGAAAAAATGATCCCTAAGTCGTTGAGGGTTGTTCTCTAGGAGTTTGATATGGCGATATTTCAACAGGGTACGAAATGAGATAATCAGTGGATTAGAGATCAGACGATAACATCTGAGGCGAAGCTTCACTGTGAGAAGTAGAAGAGTCAAAGGAAGAAATGCGGTGCAATGGTCTTTCAAAGAAGAGATGAGCTTTAGAATTAAATGTGTATTTATTTTCAGAAGACGTTGCGAGGGGTTTGAATAAGTTAATGCTAAGCTTTCTCACATACCTAATTCCATACAACTACTCATCATACTTTCCATAATATCATGATTTCTATGATGTCATACTTCCTGTGCTATTATACTCTCCCCAACTCGAGGATGTCATATGCGATCCATTAAATGACGTCCTAACGCACAAGCAATTTTAGTCTGATCTAGATGACGTCATGAAAAAGAGAAATACAGGATGTTACTTGACTCAAATATGAAGTCCGAAGACTGTGCATCTTCATTTCTACTATCAATGACTCATCATGATCGTTCAATCTTTTTTTTTATCAGATTTGAATTGCGTATGCAGCTATCTAGCTATGACACAACATCAAAGAAAAGTACAGAATAGATGATTCATAGTTAAGGAAGAGCACTCATGCCTTGGATTTCATTTGCAAGTACCACTGCGAAGTTACGGCGGCTTTTTCTTCACCCCAAGTCAACCCTCATCCGTGAATACCCACCCAGGGGAACGTCTCAAAAACCCTGGATTATCCAGACATGACTCCATCATCCATTCATATTTCTCCGCGCGATATGTGATCTGAGATGTAACGGCTAGTGAGCCGGTAATTACCCTGTGGCACATGATGTTAATCACGTGCTTCACAACTTTACGAAACCACTATTCTATCATAGATTAATCTGGACATCACTAGAAATTTCTAGCAACTAGTAGTAAGACTGCGAACCAGCCTCAGGGGAAAATACTAGAAACTGGTATTAGTCAAGAATATTCTAGATAGAATAGTAAGCGAATAAATAGTTGAAGTTGGACGTACATAGATAGCCATAGAGAAAATAATAAACAACCTTCGTATATTTGATCGCCCCAGCATCTATACCTCGAACCGTGACATATTATTTTCTCTCATTCAGGCATTCAGAACCGCAGTCAGTCGCAGTAATTCAGTATCGCAGTCAGTCGCAGTAATTCAGTATCGCAGTCAGTCGCAGTAATTCAGAACCGCAGTCAGTCGCAGAAATTCAGAATCGTAGTCAGTCACAGTAACTCGGAACCGCAGTGAGTTGTAGTCATTCAGTAATAAATCTCAATAATAATGACATCATCGGTAACCGGGGGACGCCACCAGATGGTACCTATCGAGGAATTCCGCGAACTTCAGCATCAGTTTAAAAAATTGCTCGAAAAGCAATCTTGTAAACCTACGTCTACTAAAAGATTTATCATTGAGAAGGATCCACCACCAAGCGAGCACACCAGTCTAAAGCCGACAAAGCTTCCGGAATTCATTGGAATTAGAGCTGAATACCCAGCATGGCGTGCTGCTGTCTTGGATACTTTCCGTATGGACTGGAATCTTTTCGGATACGACAATTCTCGAGCTTTCCTGATGATCTATAACGCACTGAAGGGCACGGCAAGAACAAAGGCCAGCTCGTTCTACGAAGCTGGCGGAGTTCGGAATACCAGAGATCCCGAAGATTTCATTGAATTCCTCGACAGGCTTTTTCTAGATTCGACAAGAATTTCTCGTGCTAAAACAGAGCTACAGTCTATGAAAATGGAGGATAAACAACACTGGTCGGACTTTCTAGCATCTTGGTCGAACAAATTGACTGAGGCCCGAGGAGATTTTTGGCCAGATGACAACAAAATCTCCCTGCTCCAGAATGCTTTAAACAAAAAGTTGACTATGGCGCTAGCCTCAAATCACATGTTGCCTGACGATGATTTCAATGAATGGGTGAATATAGTGAACAGGGTTGCACAGCAGTTTGAGATAGCTGAGAGTCGATTCTATGGAAGACGGGATTACACATACCCTGATGCGAATCTATGGCATGGAAATCGAGATAAGGGACGCACTATCGGAAATAACGGAATCAATTGGTTACCGCATAATCAAATATCAGATAATTTCGATAGTCGATTCAGTAACCTCGGAAAGGACGGGGCGGTGGATAAGTCAGGGGACACTGTTATGGGCGGTGTTAACGCAATGGGTGTGGTAAAAGATGAACGCCGGCGAGCAATGTGGAAAACTAAATCTCAATTAGAAATATTGAGACAAGAAGGCCGTTGCTTTAGATGTGAGCGGAAAGGGTGTATAACCAGAAAGTGTCCTCTATTGCCGGCTTTAAAGCCTAGAGGTAATTCAGTCAGGGTTACATCTACGTCATTGCCGGAAATAGACCCATCAATGTACTATGTGGAGGAAGTGGAAGTGGAATCGGAAAACTAAAGGCTCCTGAACATAGTCGCGCTCAGGAGCCAGAAACAGTCAGCAGTTTTGAAGCGAGCATGAATACAAAACCTTTTCTTTTAAATGCATTATTAAATGATACAAAAATGGTACAAGCATTAGTAGACAATGGTTGCTTGTGTTTTGGAATTATTGATGAAGCATTAGCTGAAAAACTGCGACTGCCGCGCATTCCGATTACACCAAGACTACTAGAAACTGCAGATAATTCATCTACAAACAAGCCAACTGTGGATAAAATTACGTACATATCACTAGATCTTGATGGATATATCACCCCAAAACTGTGGCTCTACATTGTCCCTCAGAGCACACATCAGTTGATATTAGGGAAAAAATGGCTCGAAGAACAAGATGCTGTAATTCATTCTAAAGAGCAGCGATTGGAGCTTCGCAAGTATGGTGGATCTGTATGCAGCGTCGAGCGATGGCGACAAGATTTGAGAAATGTGGCTCGGCCAAAGAATGTTCCAATCAAAACTATGGCGTTAATGGTCCAGACTGTCCCAGTTTGCAAGGCATCGCTCGAAGATATAAGTAAAGCATTACGTGGAAAACCGGGTGTTTCGTTAGAAATAGCGCGGAATCGCCTACCTGACCAAGTCAAGGATTTTGCTCATTTATTTGCAGATGACACAGGGGCAAAAGACTTACCATCTTCGCGCGGGGCACTTGACCATTCTATAGAGTTAAAGAAAGAAAATGGGAAACCTCTGTCACCACCATGGGGACCACTTTACAGTATGTCAAGAGAAGAGTTGCTTGTTTTGAGGAAAACCCTGACCGACCTCCTGGAAAAGGGTTGGATTCGACCCAGCAAGTCAGCAGCAGCGGCACCGGTACTTTTTGCAAAGAAGCCAAACGGAGGCCTTAGATTCTGCGTAGATTACAGGGGACTAAATGCGATAACGGTGCCTGATCGATATCCACTTCCGTTATTCAAAGAAACGCTACGTCAGTTATCTAAAGCAAGATGGTTTACCAAACTTGACGTAAAATCAGCTTTCCATAGAATACGTATCAAGGAGGGCAGTGAATGGATGACGGCATTCCGCTGTCGGTTTGGTCTCTTCGAGTGGATGGTAACGCCTTTCGGTCTTTCCAACGCACCAGCAACGTTTCAAAGATATATTAATGAGCAATTGCGCGAGCACCTTGACATTGATGCCACAGCCTACATGGACGACGTTCTGGCGTATACATCAGGGAGTGAGGAGGAACATTGGAAGGTAGTCAGAAGCATATTATCGAAACTCAAAAGTGCAGGACTATACCTTGATATTGATAAATGTGAATTCCTTTGTCAGGAAGTTAAATATCTCGGATTTATCATCAAGGCAGGTGAGAATGTTTCGACAGACCCGGACAAAGTGAAAGCCATACTGGAATGGAAGGCGCCTACCTCCGTCAAAGGTGTTAGATCATTCCTAGGATTTGCTAACTTTTATCGATGTTTTATAAATAAGTTTTCTGACATCGCTGCCCCGTTAATAGATTTGACCAAGAAGAATTCATCATGGAATTGGGGTGAGAAACAAAATTCAGCATTCGAGCAATTAAAGAGAATTTTTGCAACATCACCTGTCTTAGCTCAATGGGACCCAGATCGTGATACTGTTTTAGAAGCAGACTGTTCTGGCTATGCACTGGGTGGTTGCTTATCACAATTAGACGATCTGAATAAATTACGACCAGTTGCATATTTTTCAAGAAGATTGTCAGGCGCCGAGTACAATTACCCTATTCATGACAAAGAAATGCTTGCAATTATTGAATGTCTCAAGGAGTGGCAGGCTGAATTAAAATCAGTGGCAAAACCCTTCACTATACTTAGTGATCATAAAAATCTCAATTACTTTGCTTCAAAAAAGCTTCTCAACGAACGACAGGCTAGGTATAACGATACCTTGCAACAGTTTAATTTTAACATTCAGTGGCGAGCAGGAGCTGCTAGCGAGCGACCGGATGCATTATCAAGGCGAGAACAAGATAAGCCCACAGGTCTCGACGATGAAAGAAATGCCGGAAGGGTTATACAGTTATTGCCAACAGTTTCTATCCACCCTGTCAATACCAGAAAAACTAACCGTAACACAAACCAAACCATGGACCCAGCCGCTGAAGCAATTCTTTTTGAGAGCGATGAGCTACAAGCTCTATGGGCGAAGGGTATTGAAATAGATAACGACTGGAAGCGAGCT